GAAAGGATTTGCAGCAAAATCTGCATTCCAATTTTCTCTCACCACATCTTTGAAAGTGTCATGCTTAGTCCAGAAGTTGAGGAATCTAAAGGACTTCCTAATTGGAGCAGCTTCAATGTCACATTTCAGATACAGTGGGCAGTGATCTGATCCAATTTTTGATAAATGTGTGATCTCAAGTCCTGGAAAAGTTTGCTGCAGCTCTAAATTACCCAAGCATCTATCAAGTCTTTCAAAAATACAATCCTCTTCTGATCTTCCATTCCACCATGTGTAAATACTCCCCTTGAAACCCAAATCTGTGAGGTTGCAAGTGTTAATGCAGTGCCTAAAATCATCAATCTCATTTAAATGAACAGGGAGCCCACCAAACTTTTCCTCCTCATCCCATATAACATTGAAATCCCCTCCCACAAGCCAAGGAGAAGTCATATCAGTAGCCATTGCATAAAGAGAATCACATAGTTCTATCCTCTCTATTGCATCACATTTAGCATACACTAGAGTAAGTATAAGCTCTATATGAGTTTCTGTGTGAAACAATTTGAGAGTCAACTGTTGAGTCATGTTGTACAGAATTGTCACCTCATACACTTCATCTATGAATGCCCATATTTTATTAGATACATTAACCACAACCTGAGCCAAACCAATTCTTGCCCTGTATCTCTCCATTTTGTTTGACTGTTGCTATAGGTTCTAATATTCCAATGAATTCAAAATGATGCTGCCTGTGCATTAAGATCAGTCTTTCAAAAGCTTGCATTGTATTCACTGATCTTACATTCCAAATTATTGCCTCCATTACTNTTATGTGACACTATGCTCGATACTTAGCGATAGCTTATTATTATTGTAGGTGATGTACCAGAAGAGGCTTGAGGATAGTCATAGAAGTAGACTTTTTAGAAGCTTACATGAAGATTATATTTGCATAAGTATTTATATTTTTGAAAGCTTGCGGGACTTGGACATGATCCATGTGACATACTTACATATGTAATTTTGAAAAACTATTGGGCATGCTATTTTGTAACATGAAATGGGTGAATCATTTGTCTATTTTGGGCATGTAAGCCAAGTCTTGTCATGTACTTAGTTATAACGGTCCGACCGGTAGCCCCTATTTATCGCTCCTTCTATGCTTAATTGTGGTTATGTGACTTTCTGGGGTGGTTGGATTGGTTCCGGGGAAGTTTCAGAGTGAATTGGGACACTTAGTCCCAAGGTTGAAGGCTTAAGTTGAAAGAGTTGATCGGAGTTTGACTTTTATGTAGACGAATCTGTAATGGAGTTTTGATGGTTTCAATAGCTTCGTATGGTAATTTTGAACTTGGGTGTATGTCCGAATATTGATTTAGAGGTCCGTAGATCGTTTTGACTTGAATTGGTGAAAGTTGAAAAGTTGAAGGTTTGGAAGTTAGAGAGGTTTGATTGAGAGTTGACTTAATTGATATTGGTTCGGATTTTGGTTCCTGAAGTTGGAATAGGTCCGTTCTGTCATATATGATTTGTATGCAAAATTTGAGGTCAATAGGAATTGGTTTGGTATGATTCAACATTAGTTTTAGAAGTTGGAAGTTCATTAGTTCATTAGGCTGAATTGGAGTGTGATTTGTGATTTCGATACTATTTTATGTGATTTGAGGCTTCGAATAAGTTCGTGTTGTGTTTTAGGACTTGTTGGTATGTTTGGACGGGGTCGCAGGGCCTCGGGTGTGATTTAGACGAAGTTCGGCTTCATTTTGGTCTTAAGGAACTGCTGATCTGATATCTGGTGCACTCTTCATCGCGATTATGGGGATTGCGTTCGCGTAGTGTTATTCAGTAGTAGAAGGTTTTGTTCTTCATGTTTGGCAAGAACGCAACACGTTTATGAAGGTTTATAGGGTCTATGCACCGCGATCGCGAGAGTGGGGCCGCGTTCACGTAGAAGAGAGAAGCTGGCTTGGGCACCAAGCCTTAAGCCTTCGCGTTCGCGGATGGGAGGACGCGTTCGTGTAGAATTAGCTCTGTGGAGCATCGCGCTTACGACATGGGTTTCATGTTCATGTAGGAGGTTTTGGTAGCTGATGTGTTTTGTTCTTACCGAACACAAGGAAGCTTCCGCGTACGCGAAGAGGAATACCTGGGCAGAATGCTTAAAACCCAAATCGAGGGTTAAAGTTATTATTCCATATTTTGAGTTGTAGAGGGGCGATTTGGATGGGATTTTCACGTCTTGGGTTGGGGTAAGTGTTTTTGGCTCGGATTGTTATTATTTCATGATTCTACCTTTTTTTAACCATCTAATTAGTGAATTAAAGTGAAGAAATGGGGGATTTTGTGAAAACTTTTCTAAAATGAAAAATAAAGGTTTGAAGGTTGATTTGAGGTTATAATGGGATGATTATGGTATGGTTGGACTCGTAATCGAATGGTGTCCGGAATTTGTGAATTTTGTCGAGTTTTGACGTGCGGGCCCGAGGTTGACTTTTTAATTTTGATAAAGATCGAAAGTTTATTGTTTGAAGTTGTTTCCTATGACATTACTTGTTGATATTGAGTTGTTTGTGACTAGATTCGAGTTTTTTTGGAGGCCGATACGCGTGTGAATGGCTTGTTGGAGTTGTTATTTGTGCGTTTTGAGGTAAGTAACACACCTAAACTTGGATTTTAGGGTATTTAACCTTGAGAACTACGTTATATGAAAGATATTGGAGTGACGGGCGTGTGTGCGTGCACCGGTGTATTCATGGTTTGGGGAGGCCTTTAGGCTATTACTGGGCTTGTTTCTGCTATCATATCATGTTATCCCCGCGTTCCCTCTATTTGTTTGATTATTTGAACTGTGAATCATGCTAGACATCATTTCTAGGCTACGTGCTAACTGCTTGAGACTTGATAGGGCTATTCTTATTGTTTATGAGTTATATACCTTACTTGCACATATGTTCTCAGTCATCATACCATATCCGTATATGATATCTCTGTCTCAGTACTTCTTATTTGATTCCTCATAAACTGTTGATACCGCTTAAGGGTAATTATGTTAAACTGAATATTTGAGATATGTTTATCTAAGACTTGAATGGTAAATGACTGAATTTCGGACTTAGAGTCGGTTTGGTACTGATTTTAAGGTGACACGTACGCCAGGACAATATTGGGCGAAAGGTTATTATTTTGGGGCGACGCGTGCACCAGGCCTCCCTATTGGGCTAAATGATTATGACTAGTGCTTGGGAAGGATCCGCCCCTCCAGAGTCTAACATTCCAGCAGTGGGCACAGGCACAATATTTCATTTATGTGCTTCATGATGGGCAGCTATGCGGGCACCCGTATAATTTTACCCCAAAATTAGATAACAATTGAATTTTTACGCGATTTAAGGATATGCTATTTAATCCAACACGAACAATTAAGAATATCAAATAAATGAGGTAGAAATGAAATAAACGTTCAAACCAGTTGCAATATTATGGCCAAGCCTGAATTTAGACTCACTAACGCACTTGTCCTCGGTTGGATCCTCGATTCAAGACCAGTCGTGAATAAAGAAAAGAACAAATGAGCTAGACTTTAAAAATAGCTAAAAGGCAGAAAATATACTTGTATTGCTTTTATTCACGTGTTACAATGTGTCCAAGAAAAGAAAAACCTCCCACAGTTTTAGTCCTAATAGAAGTCTAAATAAGGTAAAAAATTCCCCTTCCCGGTAATTGTTGATCCGCAATCGATATCAAGCGAGATTCGTGCTGTGATATCCGGTTGAGGACGAGTATCATGGCCCTCTATCCCCCATGCACAACCGTTCATCGTGTCTCCCGAGGTCTATAACTTATACTTGGCCCGAGGTGATTTGCTTTACAATATCCGATGACGGATACATTGTTTGCTCCCTCCGGGCCTTGATATGAAGGGTCTCAGACCTTGATTACAACCTCGTGGATCCATGTTCTCTCTTTGTTTCCTCGTTGGGAAATCGGGGTAGACTTTTACCCCTAATTTTACCCGTACATAGATAGTCCCCTTCGTTTTCCGGAGAGTAGGTTTACCGAAATGATGGCAAACGATAAGTGGACCTCGGTTCCTTTCTTTGCACGTCCCAACCGAAATGTCCCATCAGTCGCATCGTTCTAACGTCGGACACGTGTTAGCTGCTGGTTGACTGTCACGCCTCGGCCTCAGGGAGTGCGATGGGTGCTCAACCGGGATACCTCAGTCAAGCAAGCCTGAACAATGCCTTCTACCCGAACTTACACATGAATAAGGAGGAATTATATTTCATTAACTAAACAATGAGAAGATCATGTGGACTGCGCCAATTCGTTACCATTAGTCACATCATTTATAAGCCTCCATAATATTACATTACACGTTCATAGTTTAGTAGTGGGAACACGTGATACAATTACAACATCCTTAGTTTGACTTCCCAACACCAATATGCAATCCACACTATGTCTATAGAGACTCTAATAAATACAAAAGAGTTCTATGATAGTGTCGGCAACAAGATCCCGGCTATACCTCAAAATATAATACACAAGGAACAAAAGATGCACTACCCCAAAATGAAGTGGGGCTCACCAAGTCATCTGGGAAGACGGTGTACCGCTATCACTGATCAATGCCGCCTGCTAAGGAACCACCTGCATCCATTAAAGATGCATCGCCCCCGACAAAAGGGGCGTTAGTACATATGGAATAATACTAGTATGAATGACTAAACACCCTCTTAATAGAACGAGTAATAATACAAGGAAGAACAATCATAGAATCAATGGGAGCCTCAAACAATACCAAAACATCCAGTTAGGAGCAAGACAAGTTTTCAAGTAAATTTCCATATTTTAGGTTGGGAGATATTTAGCACTGATATACCACCATGTCTTTAGCACGGAGTCCAGATCACGGACCAATCAGCTAGGCCGTCTCACCCAAAGACATCCAATCACAATCACAATCTCAATCATTATCTCAATCACAATCACAATCTCAAGCACAATCACCACCATGTCTGCGACATGGCGTCTGATCTCGACCCGATCGGCTAGGCCGTCTCACCACAATATCGTGTGGATTGACATCACCCTTCGCTAGCAAATCATCTCTTCCCAATTAAGGAGAATAATCTCATCACATCAATCTCTTCTCAAATAAGGGGAATAATCACAATCTACTCCTACACCGACACATGTAGTTTTGGGGTTAGGTTATTTCAACCTACTCTTCCTCAGTGACTAATGATACTCCCAAATGTTTATTATATAAAGGGCTTTCAGCTCATTTCATAGTCTTTTACTCATATTTTCATTTAATTGGTACTAGTGGCCGCAAATGTAATATCATTCTTGGCACGTCGGCCGTATTTCGTATTTCATGTTCACGCTTTTCACTTTCAAGCACCATCACGGATTATTAACAACAATGCATCTCTAATCACGATATAGTACACAAATGAGAAAATAGAGTCTTAGGCACATTGAGCTTTCTTACACATTTTGGCATAAAAACTAGCGATTGAGACATGATTGAATTCATACCCAGCCTCATCTCTACAACAAACACCAATAGCACTCCTGCCTGGGTTCCCTCTTGATGCCCCATCTGTGTTAACTTTGATCCAACCCTGTTGAGGAAATTCCCATATTACTTTGTAATATTTGAGCCTAGGTGTGTAGTTTTCCAT